TGATTATAGCCATTGGCGATGTTTTAAGCATGGAACAAAACTCATTTACATGTGAAATGGACATTTCACATGCACAAGTGAAAAATCAAGCGTGAATCATTTCTAACTCAAGCTTGAAACATCATGTAATATGCCTAAGTGACAAATCAAGTATGGATCATTTCTGTCTCAAGCTTAAAATTTCATGTAGTTTGCCCAAGTGATAAATCAAGCTTGAATGCTCTTGTCTTTCAACTGTGGATTGTCATGTAGAAGTCTCATTCTTCATTTATGTGATAAATCATGTGTTGAACCTTAGTGTATTCAATTGTGGATTGAATGACATAAGTATTTAACTTCTTTAGGTGACAAATCATGCTTAAGCACATTACAAATCAAGCTTGAATTAGATTATATAAGCTATTCAGTGAAAAACAAGGCTTTGAAGGTCATTTCACATGTGGATAAAAAGTGATTCAAGCTTGAATTAGATCACATAAGCTATTGAGTGAAAACAAAGCTTTTAAAGGTTGACTCACGTGTAGATGTAGTGAGGATTCATGTTTAAATTAGACATTAAAGCATTTTAAGGATGTTTCACGTGCGCGCGCGCGCATGCGTGTATACGTGTGTGTGCGTGCGTGCATGTGCGTGTGTGAATTTCATTCACACGTATATTAGAAGGATTGACTCAACAAAACTTCATAAGGTTATAACTTATTCAATATAACTCTAAATCTTACAAATTACATATCATTGGAAAGATCTTGAAGCCTAGTTTTTAATAAAAGAAGTTTTACATTTAAATTCAAAGTACCTTTTAAGATGTGAACAAAGGCCAACTCTAAATACTGTGTAGAATCAATATTTCAACACTCAACTTTGAAAATTAATATCTTTCTCAATAGAACTCTATTTTGAATAAATAAACTATCATTGAAAATCTATTGGAGTTTATTTTTAAATGAGATATTTTCACACTAAAATAATCTGTGTAGTAAGAGAGATGACTGAAAACATGACTAAAAGTTAAATCTGATTTTCTGCACAATTTTCATTTCAGAATTTAGACTTCAAATGTTCATAACTTTTTTAACTTAGCTCCTTTTTAAGTAAATAGAACAACTTTAAAAATTTTATGAAATTATTAATCAAAATATTGCAAACCTTGTGAGATACATATGATCAAAGATGAAAAATATGATTATAGAAAAATATATCTCACTCTTTCTCTTAAGACCTAAAATACATGTTTTAATTTAAAATATCTTAAGCCAATATTGGATATCTAAATCAATAAGTTTAATATAAAGACTTTTAACTTAATGATATTATACTTATCAAGTCCAAGCTTCAAAGACACATTCAAATTTGTATGAATATCTTCAATGTTCTTAAATTCTTTTTAAATCATTCTTCTCTTTTTCTTTATGTTCTTCAATTATGAGTATAGCATGTAAATGATGACTTAGTTTCTTCCTCTTCACGCTCACACTCACCTTTATCTTCACTTTGGATAATCTTAAATGATATATCATAAATAAAATGGTTAATTCAAGTATCATTATATATATAAGTATAGGCATGAAGATTATAGAACATGCGTATGAAAAGCCTTATATGCAATATACAAACGATAATAATTTGAATACCTTTGCATATAAAGTTATTTTAAGATAAGAAAAAATATAATAATATAAAATAACTTTTATGCATATAAATCATTTTTTCAAATCTTATGGAACAATATAAGTAAGAACATTTAAAGTATTTGTTTCATAGTCATAGTTAACTACTATATTATATATATATATATATATATGAAAAAAAATCTAGGTATAAGTATATAGTTAACTTTTTTATATTTGTCATCATCAAAACTTAAACTAAACATAATGTCATAAGTCATAATGTCCAATATGATTTGCCCTATTGAAGTCGCCCCTCAATAGTGATTTATAAGCATGTGCATGTGTGTGCGCATGCACGCATGTGTGCTTAGTTTTATTGATCATATTGGTAGTATTGGTTAAGCACTTGCTCAAGTTCACTTCTTGGATTAACAGTGTTAGTTGGGCATATCATGACACCCTAAAGTTTGAGTAAAGGGAACCATGGTTCAAATTGGAGTGAGGAAGGATTTGGCTGGGCAACCCCTCTTGATTTAAAGAGTTGAACTATCCTAGTAATGTGGACTAGAGCTATAATAAGTTGCTTATGAGTTTAATCAGAGGTGATAAGGGGAATTTGAGCATGCATCATTTGATACATATTTTTTGATGAATTTTCATGAAAATAAATGATTGGTATAAACTTTGAAATTCTTTTATATGATTTATGCTAAAAATGTGAATTGCATGAATTGTATATCACCACTATTTTATATGTTGATTTGAATATCCTAGTTACTAAGAGTTTACATGAAATCTCACTTATTACATTTACTCATTTTTAGGAGAAAAAAAGGGCAAGGAGAATGCAAAAGCTTCGAGAACTCAGCACTAGAGATCATTAGATTTTGGTGATTTTTGTAATGCAGAGTTATTTTGCAATTTTGTCAACTATAGGGAACTTAGATACATGTTTAATCTACATTAAATTTTGTATTTTGATAATTGAAATTTCTTAGACCTAAACTGGTGCTAGACGTCCTTGTTTATATTTGTTATTTAAGAGCTATGTAGCTCTATTTCACTTGTTAAACTCTGATTTAAATCGAAAGTACACTTTGAACAAATTTTGAAAAAAAATTATGGTTGTGCAAATGACTTGGGTAGTTATATATATATGAGTAGATGTCTTAAAATGATATGAAATTATAAATCTGGGCGAATGATACATGCAAGTCACCAAGACGAGTGGGCACAAGCCTAGGTGAGAAAGTGACTTCTTGTCAAGGCGAGTAGTGTTTGACTCGCCAAGTTGCCTCGACGAGTGAGGCTTCAATGTGTAGGCTAGTTTAGCGATTGCTGAAATAGGGAAGTAACTAATAAGAGCCATGAGTATGTAATCTTTTTGATTTGATGTCAAACCGTGTATGGCATTTATGTGTTTTATTTAAGGATAGTAAATCATAAAGGCTAGCCTAAGTTGTTTAGTTGGTAATTCTATATGGTGTATTAAGAGTAATAATTGGGGTTATTACATTGTCCACCAAACCAAATGCCTCTAGACCATAGAAACATATGTTCTCTAGTTTTCTCCTCACTACTACATACATTACACACAAGATTTACCAAACATTTTCTCTTCCACAAAACATCATAAGTAGGCAAAGTACCATTAATCAATTTCCAAATAAAATGCTTAATTTTTGGCATATAAGCCAATTTCTAGATACAATCCCACAAACCCTCATCAACACAAATAGAAGTACTTGGGTCCTTACAAGTTATAGTGCATTTCACCCTTGCAAACCTATACCCCAATTTAACTATGTAAATCCCATTGGAGGCATCATCCCAAAATAACTCATCCTTACCATTAAACATAGGTAAAGGCATTTTCATAATCCAACCTCTATCTTCCTCCTTTAATAAAGGCTAAATACAATTCAAATTCCAAATATTATTAGTAATCAATTTAGAAGCAGGCTTTACTAACTCATTTTCATAATCAAATTCAACTTTCAACATACTAGCAAGTGAACCCCAAACCCATATATCTTGCCATACTTTTATTTGATTCCCAACATCCTCCACCACAACTTCTCATTCAAGAAATCCCATCTAACCAATATGCTAGACCACCTCAAAATGCACAAGGACCCTTCTTAGCATTCAAAAAAATAAAATTAAGAAAATACAGCCATTTTAAAACTTTCCCAGAGATCCCCATCACATTTCAACAATTGCCAGGCAAAAATTGCCAATAATGCTGTATTAAAATCTTCCCATACCTCCCGTCTGTTTTGACGTTGACATATATTCCCATGATTTTCAATGTATATGCCTCTCCCCACCTTTCTATCCCCACCAAAACTTGGCTACAATTTGATCTAACTCCACATAAGTTTTTTTAAGGAAACCTAAAATAAGACATGGAAAAAATTGGGATTGCAATAGCAATAGACTTAATAAACACTTCTCCCTCCTTTCGAGACAAGTAATTGCTTCCACCCTTCAACCCTTTTTATTAACTTTTCCTTAACAAAAGCCAACGCCTATACTTTTGATCTCCCCTACAAAACCTATAAACCCAAATATTTTTCAGGTTCATTATCCATATTCACATCTATCATAGAACAAATTTCTCCCCTTAAACCACCAAAAACATTATGAAAAAAGAAAATGTTAGATTTATCATTATTAATACACTGACCAGAAGCTTCACAAAATCTATCAATAGTCATATTTAAAACTACACAATTTGCCTTATTGGCCTTCATAAAAATCAATACATCATCAACAAAACAAGTGTCAAAGTTGCATAGATACCTATTAGTCTCACACCCTTAAAATTGCCATCCTTTGCATGTTTTACTAACATTGCCAAAAGTATATCCATTGCCATGATAAACAAATAAGGCGACAATGAATCACCTTGTCTAACTCCTTTTCTTGTTTTCACTTCCGCCACCCTTTTCTCATACATTTTTTAAGTGCAAAGAGACAATAGTTATGCATTGAATTATCCAGCAAACCCATGCCTTTGCAAAGCCTAATTTCAGCATAACTGCCTTCAAAAAGTTCCCATTCTAACCTGTCATGCTTTGCTTTAGTCCATCTTCACCACCACATCTTCTTTACTTGAAAAAAAAATTAGGCGTCATGGTATTTAAATTTAATTTTAAATTTTTGGGACTCTCAATCATTATTATTAATAATATTTTCAGGTCTTTTTACTGTGATTTTCTTACATAATAATCTTGAGTAAAAGTATAAAACGATTTATTTAGTGTTTTATTTTTTTTCCAAAAAAAAAAAAACTTTTAAGCTTCGGCTTGCCGCTTTGTAACTCGAAAAAAAGATCCACATAATGTTTTAGGAAATAAATTCCATCTCATTCCTGTGATATTTTGCACTGCTGCTTGAGCATTGCGTCTTCTGCTTGGAAGGACTGCCCGCTACTCTTTATCTCGTTATCTTGGGGGATTGTTATGCTCTGGCCTCCGCCATGGAAGGTCTGCAAGCAGTCTTTCATCCTCCTGTCGTCAAATATGAGCCAGACACTGAGAACATCAAACGGAAGCTCATTCAGAAGGGTGTCTACCCAACACCCAAAATCATTCACACTCGTCGCAAGAAAGAAATCCAAAAACATAATCGAAAACTCAAGCGTCTTGCCGAACAAGATAACCACGTCCCTCGGCTTACTCGGTCCCAAAAGCAAGAACTCTTAGACGAATACAAATTTCAGACGTTAAAGAGCGAATACAAAGAATTTTCAAAAGCAATAGAAGCCAAGGTAGGAAAGAAGGCTGAAGCCATGATGGTGGGGAGGCCTTGGGATGGACTTGAGAAGGTTGAATTTCTTGAGCTTGCGGGAACGAACGGGGAATATGGAGGAGAGAAGCTTCGGAAGGAGAGTTTGAAGGAACTGAAAGAAATGTTTGAGGCGCGAAAGCTGGATGAATTGCGGTGGGTTTTAGACGATGACATTGAAATGAATGAGGATTGGTTCAATGATGAAAATGAAAGCCGGGGCGCTGGGAGGAAGACGAGGAAACGTAGCGAGGCTGAGGTGATACGGTTTCTTGTTGCGAGGTTGGTGTTGAATTTCGATTCTGGTTAAATTTTAGAGTGAAAGTTTTCTATGATCTGAGTTTTTATTAAGGGATTTTATTTTTGTTTTAAGTTAAGGCTAAGCGCGAAGGAGATTACCGGAAATGATTGGAAGTTTGCAAGAATGATGAAGTTGTCTGGATTGCAATTTACTGAGGGTCAACTGCTGAAGATTCTTGAAGAGCTTAGTGCTAAAGGAAGCTGGAAACAAGCGCTTTCTGTGGTGAATTGGGTGTACAAAAAGAATGATAACAGGAATTATAAAAGCCGGTGATTAATTTGCTTATGATGACTTTAATTTCTGGAGAAATTTTTTTAGCTTAAGACGATTGTTTAAGGCTCCCCGATGTTTTTGTGTCTATGAAATTCTAACTCAAATATACGGTTTGAAGTATTTCCTCAGTTTTAAATATTTACGTGCACCATCGAAGGTAAACACAACCAATCAAAACTATTGGTTGGAGTGGATAGCTTTTATTTGTGGATTGACACTATAATAGTGCGCGTACTTCTATAGTTTTACATTGAGGCCCAAATATAGGATGGTGCTTAGGAAGATGAATATATTGATGAGAAATGCATCTTTGTGTGTATTTGTCACACTGTCATGCCAATCCATATTTTGCTTATCTATTTGCTTTTGCTTCGTGCTTTATATTTTAAGGTCTCTCTTTTAAAGATATTTGCATTGACTTTGTAGGTTTGTTTACACAAAACTTCTTGCAGTTCTTGGGAGGGCTAGAAGGCCAAAGGAAGCCCTTCAAATTTTTAATCTGATGCGTGTAAAATCAAGTGCTTGACTGTTTTCTGAAGAGGGTTCTTCCTTATTTGTTATTAGAATATTGCTGGGTTGACTTTTACTTTCTGCTCGTTCAGGGAGATCTCCATATATATCCTGATATTGCAGCATATCACAGCATTGCTGTTACACTTGGTCAAGCCGGTCTTCTGAAAGAGCTGCTGAAAGTTGTGGAGTGCATGAGGCAGAAGCCCAATACAAGATTTATGAACCGGAAGGACTGGGATCCTATTCTTGAACCTGATGTGGTTATATATAATGCTGTAAGAAAGCAACTAAATGTTTATTAGGTCACTGAGGAACTTCTGATAATACCATTTAGCAGATTAATTGACTGTCAGATTTCTTCATTGCTGTCAGATATTGAATGCTTGTGTTTCATCAAAGCAGTGGGAAGGTGTGTCATGGGTGTTTAAGCAACTTAGGAAGGGTGGTCTGAAACCAAATGGAGCAACTTATGGACTTGCAATGGAGGTAATTTATCAACATGAAGCATTTGTATACTCTAGTATTAAAATATGGAAATGCAATATAGCTTACTCTTATATTTCCTGTTTTTAATGATGCCTCATACTGCTAGCAACTTATCTCTGATTGGGTAATATAGTTCCCTTGAGTTAAGAAATGCTAGCATTTTGTGGATTCAAGGTGGGGCAGTCTTATCTCTTATGCGTACATGTAGTATTGACTCTGTTTGAAATATTGATCTCAAACAAACTATTTATCTGTTTCATTATGTTCATCTTTTATAATGTGAAGGACGTTTTTCCTCTTAGCTGTTTTATTTAGAGATGTAGGCGTCCTTGGTATATGATGGCTCAGATTTTCATATTGTTCACATGTTTAACAAGCTACTTTTTAGTCCTATCCTCTTTGAGGCAATTCTCACAAGTGGTCCTTGTTATAAGGTAATGTTGCAATCGGGCAAGTATGACCTTGTCCATGAGTTGTTTAGAAAGATGATAAAAAGCCGGGAGGCTACCAAATCTCTTACATATAAAGGTAGTTTATTTAGTTCCTTCATTCTGGCTGTTTTGGTGCTGATATTTACATGCTTATACATATTTTTTCTGATTTCTCCAGTGTTGGTGAAAACTTTCTGGAAGGAAGGCAAAGTTGATGGAGCTGTGGAAGCAGTCAGGGACATGGAAAGAAGAGGAGTTATAGGAACTGCCAGTGTGTATTATGAGCTTGCTTGTTGCCTTTGCAACTTCGGGAGATGGCAAAATGCTATGCTAGAGGTGAAGTTTTCTTCTGCTTGGGTATGCTATAGTTGTGCAAATAGCTATTGGTTTTTATTTCTGCAATAAACCGACATTTTCTTTGGAATATGGCGCAGGTTGAGAAGATTAAAAGACTTTCTCATGCTAGGCCATTGGAGGTCACCTTCACTGGCATGATAATGGCTTCCTTGGATGGTGGGCATGTTGATGATTGTATTTGTATATTCGAACACATGAGAGAACACTGTGCCCCTAACATAGGGACTATAAATGCCATGCTGAAAGTTTATGGCCGAAGTGATATGTTTTCTAAAGCAAAAGAATTATTTGAGGAGGTTAAGGGAGCTAAATCATATTGTTATGGATCCCCGGGAGATGGTGGTGAGCCATCCATTGTACCAGATGAGTACACATATAGCTCAATGTTGGAGGCTTCTGCCTGTGCACTCCAGTGGGAATACTTTGAGCACGTGTACAAAGAAATGACACTCTCTGGTTATCAGCTGGATCAAAATAAACATGCATCATTGCTTGTTGAAGCATCAAAAGCTGGCAAGGTAGGAGGCATATATATTATTGGATTCTTTCTCTTTGTGAAGAAAGATGATCTATTATTTGATTGGCATTATTTTTAGTTATTTATGCACAAGCAAGTATAACTACAGAACTCAGCACAAAATGCAGATCTATGAGGCTCCGAGCATGTGGTTGTTGTGTTATTTGGAATTTCAATGGTGGTGATTTTGGTTTTTGCCTTTAGAATCAAGCTCAGCAACATAGATATTATTTCATGAATTGATGTTATTCAACTGCAATTTTGTCTCATTATTACAAAGTTAGCCAGGGGAATCACATAAAATATAACTCACAGGTCGGCAAAAAATACATCTTGTCATTCCAAATGACCAAAAATTCTTTATTTTCCACTTGGATGACCAATATGTTTTGGATAAGTGCAAGAGTTAGGATGGAAAAGGGATTGTGCTGCACCTACACAGAACTTTTGTTTTTTTTTTTTTTTTTCTGGGTGTTGGTCAATTTATGAAGTTGAGGAAATAAATGGTATAAGTCCCTAAGTTGATGAGTCTTTCTTTGTTGCTCTGTTCTGTTTTTGTTTTCTGGTTTTGCATTTTGCAAAAATATCTACTTGTGAATTCATCCCTGTTATATTTTCTCCTACTTCTAACCCTGAAAATTTATTAATCTGAATCATTGAATTTGTTGGCCCATTTGGTTTCATTTTCAGGGGCATTTACTGGAACATGCATTTGACGTGATTCTGGAATCCGGAGAAATCCCTCCACCTCTATTCTTTATGGATCTGGTAGTTCAAGCTACAGCTTATCATAATTATGAAAGGGCTGCTGTCCTTGTCACCACTATGGCTTATGCACCATTTCAAGTTAGTGAAAAGCAGTGGACTGACCTGTTTAAGGAAAATCAAGGCAGGATTAATCTCGAAAAACTAGACCTATTGTTGGATGCTCTTAGTAAGTGTGATGTTGCATATGAAGCAACAGTCTCAAATTTATCGAGATCCTTGCATTCCCTCTGTGGAATTGATACAAGAAGAAATGTCTCTGGTACCATTGGTTTTGGAAGTGAAAATACTCTCAGAGATCAGAACTGTAGAACTGATAACGGTAGAACTGCAAATGTGCCAATCAACTCTGAGACAATGGATGGAAGTGCTGAATCTATTAGTGACATTGTTTGCAGTTCCCATGTCGAACCAAATATAATTTCACCCCATGACGATCATGTCAATAGTGATGATGATGATATTGCCATTGTCTCTAGGCCTAAAAACTATGATATTGCAGACAGAACAAGTTTATTTACTGATAGGCAGGGATTTGCAGATGATGTAGAATTCGACAAATATTTTGATACTCTGTGTGAGAACTGGGACGTGTCTAATGGAAGCACTGAAGAGGATGATACAGCATCTGAGAGACCCTCAGCACACGAAATACTGCAAGAATGGAAGAAGAGGAGAAACGATGATAAGAGTTATTCTCAATCACAAATAAGGAGTACATGATGAATGTAAGTTTTTTTTTTTTTTTTTGGGGGGGGGGGGGGCCGCGTTGGTGTTGTACGATGAGTGTAAGTTGCTTCAATGTAACGTGCTAATACAACCAAAGTAGAGCTGATTGTTATGAGTTGTAACATGTAAGAATGTTCGATGGTTACTTGTAATTTATTTCATAATTTTGTCCCTATGACAAATTATGAATTTCTATTATATTTGTAAATTTAAAATCAATGTATTATATTCAAACAAAGCCATTTCACATAGAAAAATTTAAGATGTTTTTAGTGTTAATTTTCGACTTGACCGTTTCATTTCTTATTACGTCTATTTTTCTTTCCACTTTTTATCTTAATCTTTGGATCAAAATTTGAAGAATTAAGATTTAACATTTCACAAAATTATTATTAAAATATGAAATTACAAACAGTAAATCATGCGACTTTGTTTCTCATTTTATATAACTAGTATTTACCCGTGGATGGAAAACAAATTAATTATCTTTCAAACAAATAATAAAAATTAAGCCATATTAATTTATAGTATTATTAATTATTAATTAAAAATGTCTTATAAGTTGAAATTGTTGTGTTTTTTAAGATACCAATAAATTTAAAAAGATAAGTTAATTTATTATCAATAATTGCATTATTCTAATGGATTAAGATTTACTCTTTCCATTTAAAAATGTAAGACATTTTTTGAGAGGTTGAATGTTCAAAATTATAAGTCATTTTTAATCTTTTGAGGTGTGATCATTATTTTTTTTTTCAAAAGTACCTCTATTGATAGTGACTTTATATTTATTATAGAGTGTTTAATAGAAATAAATATAAAAAGATGGGGTTAGTTTAAAAGTAGGTAACTATTTATCTGATAAAAATCAATTAAAAATGCCTTAGATTTTTTAATAGAGGGAGTAAGATTTAACATATTGCAAGTAGTTTTTTCCCCAAATTTTCACCCACATCTGATAAAATCATATATGCGAAAAAATAAAACAAATTTGACCATTAAAAAGTTCAAGATTTAATTGAAGATTGCCAGTAGTTTCCTCTCATAGAGTATCGCCCACTTATGAGGAATTTTTTTTTTATAAACATAATTTTTTATTTTTATATTTAACTCCTATTTTATTTTTTATATTTATTTTTTTGATGTTTGTTCTTTATACTTTTATTTTTCGTTATTTTAAATCCTTTTAATATCTCTATATTTTATTCATAGAGGGATTAAAAATAATAAAAAATAAAAATATATAAACCTAAAATATTAAAGAAAATACAGATAGTAAATACAACACACGAATAAAATATAAAGATTAAAAATTATATATAATTTTTTTTTTTTATTTACCAACACGTAAGATGAAATCATATAATAAAGAGAAATGAAACGGGTATGATTTCTAATACAAGAAATGAAACGGGCCAAAGCTGCAAATTTAGGCGCAACACGAAATCTCGCATGAGCGATCGGCATTTACAGGTTGTGCCGTTTCCCTTTCCCTTGGTCGAAGTGTGTCGTGCATAGAATTTTGCAGGGCGAGCGTGATTACCTGGAGATCCTGGTTCATCAACGATGGCGAATACACTACAACGCGCGGCAAGCCATGGTTGTGCCCTGCGCGCCACTTTGGCTCCTCTGTGCCGGCCATTTTCTGCAGACGCATTGGTCGAGGTCAAACCTGGAGAGATCGGAATGGTTTCTGGAATTCCTGAAGAACACCTTCGTAGGAGGGTAATGTATTTTATTCCATTTTCGTCTAATTTATCCTCATCTGTTTTATTGTATTCTAGAGATTGGGATTGCCAATCCCTCTTATCTGCTGGCAATGCGATTTCTTAGTTAATCTAGGGTTCCTTAGCTCGCGGATAGGTTCCAGTCTGAAACTTGATATTGGTTAGGGCTTCTGTGTTTGTTTCTGTGTGGCGCGTGCCGTCATAGTGTCTGGATGAGTATTGCTTTAAAGAATGGTGCTCTGTGGTTTAACTCCGCCGAGGCTCGAGGCATTCTTTTGGTGGGGTTGTATATTACATGATGGAAATCAATTGGTGATATGTTAAGTCATCCCTCGTCTACATGGGGAATGTACTGATGCCAACTTGAAATATCACTAGAACCAACCTCCTTACTCCTTTCTTGCCAACCACTGAAACTCAAATTGTTCTCATCCTCACGGTGTGATGCAGGTTGTAATTTACTCACCCGCCAGGACTGCCTCTCAACAAGGATCTGGCAAGGTTGGAAGATGGAAGATCAACTTTTTGTCAACCCAAAAGTATATTTTAGTCTCTCACGGTTTTTTCACTGTTTATTTATTTATTTTTGATAAATTACGGGGCAAAAGCCCAGGTTTTCACTATGTATTTTAACTTGAACAATGCTCTCTGAACTCTGAATTACAGTTATGTGAGTTCTCTCTTTTCCTGGTTGCATGTGATGACATGCTGTCTGACGAGTTTGATAGCACATATAAGGGTAGTATAAGGGTAGATGGGGCATTTTGGATTTTGGTTCGACTTGAGTATTGAAACTTATTTACCTGAATGGACTCATGATATTGCTGATTCTCCCTTGTTCGATATCAGACTTCCTACTCTTCTCTATGTGGACATTCCTGTTTTGAAGATTTACTTGAAAGTTCTATATAACCTAAGTAAACTAGGTTATTGATCTTATCACTTGAATCATTGGTAATTTTGTAAGCATTAATTGCAGCTGAACTACTTGGTATTGTTACTATTGTGCTGGTAGGTGGGAAAATCCACTCATGGGATGGACATCCACGGGGGATCCATATGCCAATGTTGGTGACTCTGCCTTGAGTTTTGATAGTGCAGAAGCTGCAAAGGCATTTGCTGAAAAGCATGGTTGGGATTATGTGGTATGTTCTACTTCTACTAATCAATTGTTTGGGTGATTGAGCAGATTTGTGTCTTTTAGCACACATTTATTTGAAAGATATATCGCTAGTGTATTGATTCATCTTCCTAACTTGTAGTCCAACAAGGATCATAATGAGGGTGTCTTTATTGCTCCTAGCATTTTGAAGTAAACAAATAATGCCTCTCATTTTCTGATGATTGTAAAGCAGTACCAATAAGGCTGAGTTGTGATGGAGATTTATAAAAAGAACATAGCTCAGATTAAGTTAGTAGTGTTGTCTCAACCATTAGGCTAGTAATGAGATTCCTGCTAAAGAAAATTTTTTCCTGATAAATCATGCACTGGTGTCCCTTAAGTTTAAGATTCTTTATTTAATTTTATTTACGATTTATGAAATCTTGGAACTTGATGCAGGTCAAGAAACGCCATACACCATTGCTGAAGGTTTGAGATTCTTTCGCCTGTTTTATTTATGATTTAGCAATTTTTGTGATTTAGCTTAATCATGATTTATGAATTTCTGAAGTAGTATCTAGCGGGTTTTGATATCCATGAAAATTTTAAACATGCTTTAAGGTGTTTGTTGGGATTTTTTCAATCTATTTGCTCCTTTTGGGCTTGGCTTGTATGTCTCGTTTTATATTATGTTATTATTATAACGATGGGTACCAAAGTGGGATGGGAAACCCTACTCCAAAAGTTAGTTATTGAAATAAGAGAACCAACCCACTTATATACCTCATTGAGCATCCCATACCACTCAATGTGAGACTTGATATTCCATACTACCAAGTATCCATCAATTGGTCCCCTATGGAAAGCCGACGTCCTAATGGTGACACTCCATAGCACTTAACTCGGTCTCCTTCCACTCAGAACTCTGTGTGTGGGGCCCTCTCTGGAACCACGAGGTTTTAATACCAATTGATGGGTACCTAAGTGAGATGGGGAACCCTACCTCAAAAGCTAGTTGTTGAAGTGGGAGAACCAACCCACTTAAATTGATAGAGCTTGCTCTATAATAAATATTCTAACAGAATCTTAAATGCAAGATAGATGAATAAGGGAAATTCTGAGGTTTTGATAGTAATGTATAAGTATCGAATCAGTGTTACAAAAGGGAAACTCGCTGATTCCAGCCCAAAACCCTACTCCCTAACACTGAAATTACAGACAGGAGAAATTACACAACAACAATAACAAAGCCCTCACTGGTGTTTGAGGGACCAGCACTCTCCTCAGATCTATCTAACTCACAAAGACATTCTTGAGTGCTAACAAAACAACAGCCAATAATAAAGGAAACCAAAAGATGATCCTAACATCTGAAACTGAATCTACAGCCATACTTCAACCCATCATGACTTAATCCTCATTTGCTGGACCCATCGGATAATAATTCTGACCTGTTGGATAATGCTTTTCTACCCTCTACCCTTTCCTTAATCTTCTCTTATATGTCTGAGCATATCCCGGATATCCTGACGTTGCATCACATAATATCCCTCCCCCTCCCCCCCCCCCAAAAAAAAAGCAAAAAAAATTCTTGAATGGAGGTTCTTCTTGATGTCGTTGTCTGTGTGGAAGCAAGTTAATATCTTTACTTCCTTTACAAACGAATTCCAACATGCTCTCGTTTTTAGTGTAATAAACTTTTCCAAATTGTACAACCTAAGGTAATTTAATTTTCTATACTAGGATGTTGTAATTCTTTGGTGAAGAAAGCAAAAGAGGAAATATCTTCCTAGGGAAACAAGTCAAGCATGCTTAATAATAAGAAATCTGTTTAGAGAAAATCTACAGACGGAATTGGTGATCTGGATGGCTCTGTGGCTGTATATATGTGAATGATAATACAGTTACTTTAGGTTGAAAATGCCTATATACTCTTAAACGTTGGCTTGGGAACTTGTTGCAGGTTAAATCATATGCAGACAACTTTAAGTGGAAGGGCCCGCCAAAAGTTGATGGATAATGATTTGTTGGTTTGTATTCCTTTCCAAGAAAGTTCAGAATGATGCAGTTTTTTCCATTCCCATCTTTTCTTGGAAGAAGGTTGTAGCGTGATTTCCTTGATTGAAAATAAATGAGATTGAAATTTCAATGCCTAAGCTAACTGATCACTTGCATCTTTGTATTATATTATTGGGGATTTTGATCTAGCATTTGTCTTCTATGCCCTGCCCAGATGTACTTTGTGTGCAGGCTACATGAGCATGAATAACCGAGTCCCAGCTATGATGATATTAGTTTTAGGTTTAGTTCTTTGCCGTTTTTTTTTTTTGTGGGGGGGGGGGGTTTGCAATAATTATAGTCATTTCCACAGGTATCTTTCACAAATAGTATCCGGAAAGATGGCCTTGGTGTTATAGGTGATCCTTTTACTCTCTGAGTTCTGTCTGCTTGTTTTTAAGGAGACTGGTAGGATGGAATAAAGAAAGGTTTGATCAAATGGGACCCAATCTATATGCTGACCCGATAGTTTGGCTTGATCAAAAGTGCGTGTGCATTATGCAAGAGTTTTAAGATTAAAGACGATGAGAATCCTTTATGAATATTCGGTTATTAATCATTTTTGGAGAGTTTAAAATATTATTATGGATTACATTACAGTTTACAAGGAAGCAGCCACAGGGAAACATTACTTATGAGAACTGTCATTTGAGTGGGAAATTTGAGACCTCCCCCATAAGTTATCAAGCGTTGTGATGAAATGTGAAGGAACTCTTTCCGGTCAACTTATGGTTAAGTGGATATGCAGCTTTCGGTGGATTCTGTTTTTTACTTTTTTGTAGTTCACTCGTAACTAGTCGCGTGCAATCTGCTTGACATAACTCAAATGCATTCACCTCAAGGTTACATAAATTTTTTGCCCCCATGAAGAGATCAAATGAGTAAAGATTGAGTGTGTTTAGTTTTCTATTCATCAAAAGTCAACTTGTTAAAAGTTTATTTGATAAAAATTTAAATATAATTTTTTTAATGGTTAGTTTGATTCATTAAAAATTGTTAAGATTATACATGGTGAAATGTATTTTTAAATGTATAATTATCAAAAAGGAGTAAAGGGCCAATGATTTGTAATTTTTGTTATATAAATATTTTATATTATAAATGTTTAAAAAATTTGATAAAATTTTTAAATAACAAAAAATTTGATATGTTAAATAATAAGAAAAAAAAAAGCTTTGATATATTGGAAAAAATATATAATAAATAGTTCAACATATATTTATATTGAAATTAACATGATTAATTGTTTGACTTATAATGTACAATTTAATTTTTAATTGAATTGTAAATTTTATTCATCTTTCTATTAAAAGTCACATTTCAAACTATACTTGAAATTAAACAAGGTAATATAAGGACTTGGAAATTTTACTGAGGGAAACTAGCAATAAAGGATCACTAAAAGAAATTTATATTAATTAAAGATTAATTATTAAAATTTAAATGAAAAAAATTAAATAAATTATTGTTAATTTAAAATAAGTTATTGAAACTCAAATAGATATTTGTTTATAAAAAGCTAATTTGAATTAATAAAAATTAATTTTAATTTTAATAACAAGTGATTCTTAACTTATATAAATTTTCTTTAATAGTTCTTTATTAATATTTTTTCTTTTACTTATCTCATTAGATGCTCATCCAATTTCTTTGAATGCAAAAATGGCTCTAGATAGCTTTTGTAAAATGAATTTTAACTTCATTTGGGATATATGTTTTAAAAAGCCCTTTACATCCTTATTATTTTACCCAAACAATATTTGACTTTTAAAGAGATTAGTTTCCGAAACGCCGCGAGTAGATTACCATAATTAATGTTACTTGTGAGGATGCATGCCCCAGCTAATTTCCCAGCGATCAATAATGCCCCTGGAAAAAATAGGGAAAAGCCGTAGACGATGAAAATGCCCCCCGAGAAACAAAAAACACAGGGAAAAAAAAAACCACTTATAACCAAAAACAGGAATAATAAAGAAAATGAGAAACCTCGTAAATCTGAAAAGCAGAAAGTTAATGTCCTAAGCATTAGCTCAGGTTATGACGGTGGAATCACAGGATGTATTGCAACAAATGGTGAATTTGACTCCCATGAGGATTTTTTTTGCATTGAATGACATTCACTTGAAGGTTGAAATTATAAGAATATAATAGAGTAGGTTTCATTAAAAACATTGTAAATGTGATGAGTTGCAAGGACTGTGAAGAGATGTGCAAGGGCTCCTTCGCAAAATGGCAAGCAAATGCTGCAATGGTGCTTACGAGAAGCATTAAGAGAGACCAATTGTTGAGGAAAATTATTCAGAAGCTTGGGTTTCATCTAGAAGCAGTAACCCAAAAAAAAAAAAAAAAAACAGTCGCTATTCAGGAAAATAATTTCAATAACCATATAGTGAAAATTTTCACCAGAGTTTAAGTTTATCTAGCAAGCGTCAAAAGGAAAGGTGCATCTACAAGTGATGGAATCAAGTATGTGAGTGTGGAATGTTGGATTCATGAGTAAGAAAGACCCAAAATACTTGCCTATTTAAACTAGTTAGAGTAATTGCTTAAAATTTTGCTTGCTGCCTTGACTACTTGCCCATTTCTTAGAAATGAAGAGATACATTGTATTTGCCCTCCAAGTTGCTATTATTACATTTTTTTTCCTAAGTAAATTTTTTTTATATGGACATGGGCTTTTGAATTTAATGGAGCATGAAAGATTTTTGATTACTTTTAAAATGGAATGTGACCTCCAAAGATTCCATCAAGTGCTCTACTTAAATGAGGAGTCTAAATGAGACATTGTTTGAGGCATCAAAGTGTTGATTAGTTATGTTTTGAGCAAGTATTCTAAAGAAATCCTTCTCGGTTCAACAGTCCCTAAAAGTCACCGACATGATAACAAATATATTGTTTCTTTGGGTCTGTTTTGCATCTCCACTCACAAACGACTACATATAGCCAACCCATCAAACAGCCATTTTTATTACTACGTGGGTATTAAATAGGTTAACTTGACGAACCCCACTTCCGACCAACAAGACTCCCGATCGCAGAATATTTTGTCATCTTTAATGATATCTCATAACTTAATGACATCTTAAATTGGGATATTACATTTGAAAAATCCGTTTCCAAGGTGAAAAATATATTGATGTATTGATATTACATTTAAAACAATTTCTAATATATTGATGTATTAAACCAAGGTGAAAATCCGTTTCCAATAAAACCATGAGATAATCAAATATCCAAAAAACCAGGAAACTCAGTTACAGTAAAGCTGCTCAATTAACTGGGCTGAGGCTGCAAGATCAGAAGATAAATTCACAGAGCAGTACCTCATTCCGAATAGTAAAATCAACATTTTAAAACATAACATCCTTCAATTAAACCAGTTTGTCGGCCAGGAGGAGGAGGAGGCTGCTGACAACCTTGAACAGGATAGCCTGGAGGAGGATAAACATCTTCTGTGGATACCCTGTCAATTTTTCAACATTTACACTATAAACATGTTATGAATCAATCTTTTGCATGATGTGTTATAAGTCTAAAAGAAGAGTTCATCCTAAAACTAATTTATTAGATAAGAAAGCTCCTCACGTTTATAAATCACATTTATCTGTTTTTCAAAACAAGACTCATAACACAATAAAAGGGGAACAAGATGTATCGTAGAAATATGAAATCAGGACTTGAGAATAATAATAGTAGACATTGATATATTGTGACAAGGGAAATACAAAAAGCAGGGAAGAAAAGGGGAAAAAATGATCCAGGCGGAAAATTGCATCATTACATTACTTCATCCATTTCATATCACACAACCTACAACTCAGTGAGATGAATTGGATACAAGTATACAACCAAGGCCTAATATCGTGGATGGAAACGAAAATTAGGTCTCCAATTCCACCAATTCTTCCCCCCGGAGAAAAGAACTAATAAAATACTAAGCATGAATATCTAGCATCTACCTATTTGAAAACAGTCAAACACTTATACCTATCACTAGAATATTACACCAGATGATTTTTCCCTATTCTACAACGTCGGGTCTCAATGTATCCCCGAAAGAGTGAAGTACAAGACCTCTTGGTCATCTAATCAGAACCTATCGAGTTGTCCTGATTTTGCAAAGAATGCTGAGGTGGCTCAAGACCAAAACAGCCACCTACGCGACCTAGCAGCTGATTTTATGTTGGGTGTTACGCTTATCCGGTCTGCATTGGTGACCAACCATCTACTGAAATCAGGGGAAGTAACGAGTTCTTCCAAGGCTTTCTCAGTGGATTCTTTTGTGAAAGCATCCCACTCAGCCTTTGAAAATTTTCTACCCTCAGGAGTAGTGTGGAAGGTAGAAGGGTATGTGTCTGACAGCTTTGGAGGAGGTGTCCTAGTGAAACCTGTTGAGGTAAAAAATTAGTGTTAAGTAACATTATCTCGATGCTTTCCTTCCTCCCCAAGGAGTCACCAAAAGGACGGGAGAGAAGAAATTATAATGAGTAAAAATAAGCATAAGAGAGATGAACCAGACCTTGTTTAGAAGATTTGCACCGAGATAGGAGGAAATTTTTCTGTCGAAGCCGTGAGAATGTGAAGTCCTCTTTGCTTGGCATCTTGTACATGTATTCATCATGTGAATCATCATATGGTGATGAATCAAGAACTTCAGATCTTCTCCTGTTTTTCTTGGGGGATTTAAACAAACTCCTGCAAAATAATAACTCTAGAATAATTTTGTGTTGCATATTAAAGGATGTATGTTCCACAATTGGAAAAACTCCCCAGGTGACAAAGTTAGAAACCTTAAGGTTCAAAACTTGGTATATGTAAAATCTCCAAATGGACCATATATTTTATAACTCCAAACATTTTATTTTAAATTTTAACCAAAGCCACAAATATAGGAGAAAAAATTAAAAAAACAAGAATGTGGTGTCTTGAAATACATAGAACGAAACTTCTATGATCATCCTCCTATGTTTACTAAGTAATCTAAAAGTAGATGTTGATAACTGAAAATGAGAAATTAAGCTCCAGAATTCACAAAGGCTGACTTTACCTACGTAAGCGGCGGAGGGGTTTCAATCTAATTATTCTCTTCAACAAAGGGAGGACTAGCCCAGATAATAATGCCAACGTTCCCAATATAGGATCCATGGAACTCTGGAAGTAAAATGCTCTCATCAAATTTGCTATCAGGCGCTCGTAAGTGATAAACCACGCAAACATACCAGCAAAGGGATTCCTAGCAACTTAAGGGGGATAGTAAGAACCTGAAGGATCATAACAGCAGCCAATATCCGGATGGACCAAGCAACAAAGTGAGAGGTGTTTACATCCACTGACCCATCTTCTGTCAGAACAAGCTTGCGCACAGCCCAGAAGCCCAACCAGGCTCCAGCTAGCACAACAAAAGCCAGAAGAAATATTGCCAACTGCAGTTGATAATTTATGAGTTTTGGATTCAGACTTTCAAAACACAGCTCAGGAATAGAGTTGGGAAACAGGCCAGCCCAACTCATTTGGCTTGGCACATTAGGGCTCAGGCCCAAAGCCATGTTTCCCTGATTTTATCTATTTTGTGAGACTTGTCCTTAATTATTCAGGCTTAGGCCAGGCCCATAAGCCCAATTCCTAATTATGTTTCATGTTATCAGATACAAAGTTCAACTTACACAATAAAAATCTAAAGGACCAAAAATAAATGTTTTAAAGTCCAAATTGCACAGTCCAACCAAACACAAATCTTCTACAATATGGTAATGTAAATTAAAATTATAATCATTTTCCTTAATCTTCATCATCATCAAGATATTTGAATCTTCAAAGGATAAATTAGTAAATACTAACATAACATTATAACATCTGAAGTCCAAATTGTAATTTTTCTAACAGATAATAATACAACTCAATGCAAATATTCTAAAATTTGATAAATCAAATTTAAATTATTGTCATCATGTAAAAAATTAAAGAAAACATAATTACATAAAATAAATAATCCTATATTTCAGATCAGAATAACTGAATATATACCAAAAACCTAGGATCCATTTTTAATGATAATTCCAACATATAGTTCATTTCAAATATCGAGTTTCTCTAAAACCAGTTAAGTTAGATTATATGATTGCTAAAAGCCCCTTAAGAGTATGCTAGGATATTTGCACAAATGAGCCAAACTAAAAATTGACAACATTCATTGTCTTGCAAAATGCAAGGATAAGTAACATAAATTTAACAAAACACATACAAATTTTCCTGTATATGTTAAATAAAAACCTGCCCTTTTCTTAGCACTCCAACAATGTAATGAGCGGTGACCATTCTAAAGTGTGTATCTTACATAATAGCCTGCCTTGTCTTATCACTCCAACAATGCGATGAATGGTGAGCATTTACTAAAAAAGGAGAGGAGAGGAGGAAGAGGAGAACTGTCATCTACATGCACTTTCTATGTGTGCATTGTCCCGCATTTACTAAAGTAAGTAAATTGGCTATAAAAAATTTCCTTGCTTTGGCATAAGAATAATGCTAAGTCATAACTATGCTGACTTCATTAACAGGAAATCAAAATTCCTGTGTGTAAGGGAAATGATGTTGCACAAAGGATTAGCTTTCGTATTGCAAAAAAAAAAAAAAAGATTAGCTTTTGTTGAATTAAAAAAATAAAAATCAGAAAGCTAAAAAGCCTCAGGTAAAAGAAGCCTGACCAATATAACCATAATGACAATAAGAAGAATCAGAAGAAAATAGCAAAATTAATGTTGGCAATGCAGCGTAGATGTTGAAACAAATTATCAAGCAGCATAGAGATAACTTACAGGACTATACATGTCTTCATTAATTCCTAACTCTGTAAGTACTGAATGAATCAGACCAGGCACATAGCGAAGGAGAAAAGTCCCAAAACCAACCTGATTGAAATAGTGGTTAAATTTACATGATCAACATTCTTCATACTTAATTAGCATACGAGATAGGGGGAAAAAAAAGGAGAATGAGGCTGTGCTTACAGCAGATGAATATAAAAATATAGCAAGAGAATTCTTTCGACCAGTTGGGAGCAATTTCATCCCCTGTCAAAGAAAAGAGGAGTCCATGTCAAGGGTAAAAAGAAATTTTCGTGGTCATATATTAGAATTGAAGGAACAGAAATAAGTTACCTGAAAAAGGATCATCAATATCACAAGAATTATCCCAACTGCCATCGCGCTACTATAATAAAATGTTAATGATTTGCTCAGAAATGATGCCAGGTTCAACAAGATAATTCCAATTATTAAGAGAACTATACGAAACAGATTGAATTCTGCAATGGAGCAAAAAGAATCATAGTACTGGAGGTCACCACTCTTACAAGAGATCATTTTCCATATAACGCTAAAAAACTGAAACTCATAAAAATACATAAAACCTATGAGGATTTACCTTCTTCAATGGTCACCTCAAAGTTTTCCAGTGTTGAACCACCAGTCCTTATATCTAAGATCTTGTGGTCAAAAGGAGATATTGACCGAACCCAATAGCCCTTGTTAACTTTCTCCCACTGGCCTTGTGGACACATCCCTACACTAATAGACACATTTCTGCACAAGATACACAGTAATGTAGATACCAACGGCAATTATTATTTTCCAAACTCTCATCTATCATAAAACATTATAAGAGAATAGACAGCCCTTTTATTGAATAATGAAATTCAGACTTAATGTATGAGACGATTTTCGTACAAAATGATTCAACGTTGATCACATCTACTCATCAATCCAGTTTATGCAAACAAGCACCATATTGTGAAGGAAAACTAAAATGAAGGCCTTGACCATGGACAGATTACACCCACATTAAAAAATATACACGGCATGTACCAGTGCTCATACGCACCTGTGAAAACATATCTCTATGTTTGGGTGGTGAACATCTGAATTTATTGGCAGCACTTTTACCTTTAGGGAGTGGGCAAATTTCCCCAGGTTCTGGAACCTTGATAGTCCATGTATATAAACTCTTTCACATACAGCTTTAGCACCGGGCTTAGAACCAGGAGAGTTCCCCACAGGCAAGCCCCGAGAGAGTTGCAATGTATTGTTTTGACTAAAAACTAGAAAAATGAATAAAAATAAATAAATCAAAGTAGAAGTAGAAGAAAAACTTCAAAATGATTATGACTTAAGATTTGCATCTGCATAAGAAGAGATCAGAATCCACCCCTACAAGTATGAAAGTAGGATACGACTTTAGCCAAACATATTTATAAGCCAAATAAAAAAACCTAACCTCCCTGGAGCAATATGTTATAGATTTTTATTTTTTTGGGGTTGGAATGTCAGCAAACTTGCATTGTATAACATTTGGTTAACCAATACGAATGCCTGAGGCCTAAACTTAAAATAAAGGTTATAACCAAGGAGAGTCTAAGCTCAATTTTCACCTCACTTGGTCACGGGTCCTAAAAAAGATCTCTGCTGTCAAAGACCTAGTTCCTCTTTTGTAATAATCATGATAACAGCTAGATGTCGGACCTATAGTGCAGTTCCCTTGTTAGATTTTATATATATATATGATATCGATCATACAACAACAACAACATGACAACAAGAAGGTGGGGTCGACTACATGGATTATATGACGTCATTATACTCTATCATTTATTAAGCTTCTAGCAATATTATTAATTAAGAAGCCTTGCTCAACAACCTCCAAAAGTGTTCTTTTCGGTCTTCCTATATCCTTCTTGACAAGGTTCAAAGTCATCTGTTCCACTCTCCTCACAGGTGCCTCCCGTGATCTTCTTTGTACATGTCCAAACCATCTCAAACGATTTTTTATCATTTTTTCTTCAATAGGTGCTACACCCACTTCTGCTTGTATTCGTTCATTTTGAATTTTGTCTTTATATATATATCCACACATCCATCTCAACATTCTCATCTCTATTATTCCAACTTTATACTCTTGTTGTCCCGTCAAAGCTCAACATTTACTACCATATAATATTGCCGGTCTTATAGCAGTTCGATAAAACTTCCCTTTAAGCTTGTCAAGTACCTTACGATCGCAAATAACTCCTTTAGCCTTACTCCAATTAAACCACCTTGCTTGTATCCTATGTGCAATAGCTATATCAATGTTCCCATTTTGTTGAATAATCACTCCTAAATATCTAAACTTTTCCACTTGAGGTATGGTTTGATTATCCAATTTCACTTTCAAGTCACTAATCACTGACCCCTTATTAAAATTACAATGTAAATATTCTGTTTTACTCCTACTCAGGTGGAAACCTTTTGACTTCAATATCTTCCTCCATAACTCAAGTTTACAATTAATCTCTTCTCTTATCTTTACAATTAGAACTATATCATTCGTAAAAAGCATGCATTTAGGAATTTTCTCTTGAATATGCTTAATCAAAACATCTAAAACTAAATCAAACAAATAAGAACTCAAAGATCATTCTTGATGTAATCCAATCTTTATAAAAAAAAAATTTATTTCACCATCAAGCATCCTTATACTAGTTGATGCTAACAACAACATTATCCAAAAATAATAACACTAGCAAAAATAGTAGCAGTAGTACTAATTATAACAACAACAACAACAACAAGAAGAAGCTAACTGTTGCTTAAGTATCTTAGCAATGCGAAACAAATTATGCCGTACAATTTTTGGGGAGAAAGAGGCTGTGTTATCTGTTCTCATTGTTGCCAACTGAAATAACTGTTCATTGATCTGGAGGCAACCTTCTTTGTGTTAAGACGAGAAGAATAAATGGAGAAAACAAGAATCAAACTTCCACTTCATTCTGACAGAGTACCCTTGCAAACAAAATTTCAAATAGGACATCTCATTCCAGTTCCAGTATTTACTATTTATGGATTCTAACAGCAACGGTGAAAACCTATCTTTTAATCCAAATCAAATTGGGCAGAAAAAAGAGGGAAAAGAATGCATACATAAGGAATGCTCATGGCCTGATGCGAGGATTACAGCAGAAGCCCACAAGAAAAAGGAGAAGAGCCAAGCGGAGCGAGGAGATTGTAGAGTGACTACCATGCCTGGGATGGTAGTGGGCGTAGCAGAGAAAAGCTCGCGTTGAAAATACGTCAAAAGTTAAGGGTAATTCTGCTATTTCGTAAAACTCGAGGCATTCGGGCCTGACTTTTTCTTTTTGAGAGAAGGGCATTTTAAAATAAAAAGAGCGATAGCAAACTGCTGGACGTATTTTGGATAGAAAAACACTACTAAACTCAAAAGAAAGTATAGCAGTCAAAATCAAGGATCCAGACCTTCATTCATAGTCTTGGGCTAGCCCACATAACCAAGACACAGGTACTTTTCTGTGGAAAAGGCCCATATATTTTAATGTTGGATCTTTTTTTTTTTTTTCACATTAAGGTTGGAGTTTTTCCTCCTTGCTTTTTTAAAAAAGTGCATAATCATAGGGCAAATGAAAGACAGGCTAACACTGCATTTTTTTTATTTTTAAAAAATTCAAGTTTTTCTGGTATTAAGGAATTTTTATATTTTTTTAAAAAATAAATACATAATTAAAGATCACTGAATGAAGTGAAATGTCAATTGTATGCAACAATTTAAATTTTTTTTAACAAAAAATCACAACTAGAATCTAACTATGCTTTTTCTAACCATTACAAACATATGGATTTTCTATTTACTTTTAGAATGAGAAGACGATGGTCTAAATAAATTCTAGACAATTCAAATTTTATTTTTGTTTATTGTTATATTTAAAATCAATTTTACCCCCCCCCCTTTTTGCTAAATCTTTGGTCTTAAGAATGTTAATTTTAAAAATGAGTGATTGCCCTTCTCCAACCCTTACTGTCTAACTTGAGAGCAGAAAGCTAATGCATTCCACTTATTGAACAGGGTTCTATAGTCAATTCGTGACCCCTAGATGCCAAAGGCGTCCTTAGAGTAATCTCATAGTTCTAATAGGGTGGAGACGATTTGGTTCATGGGTTTTTTTCCTTTTGTCGCATCTCAATCAAAGGGTTAAAGGGAGATAATGCATCAAGCTGTTCACAAGGGCCAACTTGATCCTTTTCCTTAAGGATCCTAAATGAGAAAACCCTAAGGGAGCCACTGATTCCAACTACTACTCCTGTAAGATCCATACTAGATCCAACCAACTACCCATCTTATCTCCTTTAAATTCTTGATAGCCTATCTTTGTCTCAACAAAGTCTTTCAGTGGCATGTTTCTATCCTCTACCTTATTGAAATATCTCTCTTACCTAATCACAATTAACACTTAAATTTAGATCATGTTTGGTAGGTTGGAATTGTGAAGATGGAAATAGAATTGGAATAAGAATCTGAATAAAGTGATGTTTGATAGATATGAATTACAATTCTTAAGAATCCTGATTCCATGAAAATAGGTAGAATTGAATTCCTTCTTTAAAGCTATGGAATCAGGAGCAATTCTATAGAATTGTAATATTTAAGACACTTTTACCCTCATACAAATTTCAGAAAGACAATTTTGCCCTCAATGGAATGTCTTGACCAATAATGACTTTCTAGAGAAATTAAGCTTGACGGTAATTATTAGGGGTATTCCAGTTTAAAAACCATTTAATACTGGAGACAAAATGGATCTGGTGGATCTTATATAAAAAACCCAAGACAAATTACTCAAAAGGGTCCTACGTGAATATTTAGAGCAAGTGGGAGTACTGCACAAACTTGCATCATTTCGTGTATCATGATTTAAGGAAAGAAAATTCATCTCCATTTAGTGTATTTATTTTAAAGTAGAAGGGATGGGAACTATTGCTAATTTTATTTTCAAGAAAATGTTCCTTCTGATGATAAAACTTTTTGTTTGACCCAAGCTAGTGAATAATAGTTACCGATATAATCTATGGTTTATATAATATTTCATTAATATATAAAATACTTAAGAAAATTGGTACACAATTAAGTTTTTATTATGTTTTATTTTAATTTTTATATAGGGGTATTTTTGTCTTTTAAGTATAATTCCATTTCCATGTCTTGCATACCAAACAAAAGTAATGCAAGGATTCCATCTAATTTTTCTGACATACCAAACATACTTTTATAATTCAATTCTATTTCAATTCTGATTCCAATTCTGATTCTAATTCCAATTCCAATTTCATCAAAAACTATTCAATCATACCAAACGAGGCCTTAAGGTAATCAAGGGTTTAACCCCAATAAAGATTACCAAGTTAGTAATTTATAAAAATGGGATATTAAATTTTCATAGTCTAAAATAAATTAAAAACAATTATTAACTTTGAGTCAGAGTAAAATAATATTTTAGAAACATGAGATACGTCAAGAGTTAAATAACTTAAAATAGTTAAAAAAATATCAAGGGTAAAAAAACAAAGCAGTACACCGCAGCATGTGCACATGCACCATATTGCAAGTTTTTTACTTCCGACATGTCCTATTTCTTCATCTAACATCCAAATTAGATGATTTAGGTGTTTATGAAAATCTCTTTTCACAAATTAGCTAATTGCACTAGTTCTACTCCAAGTTACGTCACACAGAGAAGTTGAACACCTAAATGTATTTTCAGTTATTTTCACAATTTTCACAACTCTAAAGTGTCCAATACCTTACACAATTGCCAAATGCTATTCCTAACATTTAGATCATATTCATTGAATTTAGAACTAACTGTACAATACACCACATGCACATTTTCATCACAATATCATTTTTTCACTTCTCAACCCCTTAATACAAAAAATAGAAAGGGGAGGCATTAGCATTACATTTCATAATGAATCTTTTATATCATGATTAAATCAACCTTACTACACTTGCATTAGTATTTTTGTCCTATCAGCATTTACAATTTATCATAATCAACATCACAGGGCCTAAAATACATTCCAAGCATCATAAATAATAATATAGTGCAAGTGTAAATAAAATGCATCTTAATTGGCAATATACTTATACATTACATAAAATAAGTAAAGATTAGAGGCTATACAGCAGGAACACAAGATTTCTAAACCTCTGGAAGCTTTTTCTTTTCCACACCAGAGCTAGAGTTTGTAAAATATTAAAATTAGAGAAGTGAGTCTAGTCATTCGATAACTAAGGTACACCTATCCTATGTAGTTGTATATCAATTGAAATAAACACACATAAATATAAGTTAATTATTCAAATATATCAATTACATATGATACAAGTTATATTTTCACAATTTGATAAATATAATAATATTCCTCATCTTAATCACAGAGTGCATTGCGACAATGAAGTTGTATATTAATTGAAATAAACAAACATAAATATAAGTTAATTATTACAAGTTATATTTTCACAATTTGATAAATATAATCATATTCCTCATCTCAATCACAGAGTCTATTGTCACAAGACATACAGACGTGCAACAATGACTCAACTCATCATCTTAATACATTTGCCACTATAATAGCATAATATTTATCACGATTTGCTACAAACTTAACAATCATGCGACACATCAGATAAATACATATGCATCATTAAACCATCATTATACCCTCCTTATATCTTCTAACTGAAATCATGGTTTATAATATAAAATAGGGCTTAATCTGTGTGACTGAACTATCTAAACTTACCAATTATGAGGTGTGACCTAGTTAAAGATCACAACACTCACTCTCAGACCGCAGCTTCCCACACTCTTAAATCTTTAAGGTGTTGTATACCTTAAACTAACCTCCTTAACAAATAGGTGGAGATAGAAGGTTCTAATTCTTTGACAAACTACGGGACAATCTCTCAATAAACAGTAGGACAAGACTATCCCTTTATGCACCAGAGGGCAGTCATATATATCATTTGGATTTTATATACTCCTCTTCCTAGGCGAACTCCTGTCCATTGATCATGTAATATATGATACTCACTCATTTCACAATTTCATTATTTCAATGTCAATAAGTTAGGCTTACAATAATATGCTACCCAAGTGAGCATTAATATCATATCCACAAACTTTCTCCTTTTCATATTCTAAATCATCAATTTGTTCATTAATACATAATCACCATATTACATATCATCACACTTCCCATTCCAATATATACATATATTCATTGTTTTGAAAATCACTTTGAGCTCAAATCCATATTTCAAGTCAAACGAACGATGTGCACATTCACAATTAAATCAACCATCAAAGTTTAGAGCATGTTTTCACATTCACAATTATATCATACATTCCCATATGCATATTTTCACGATTACAACTCAATTAACAAACAACTACCTAAGATATAATTTTCTTAGTTACTTCAAACATTGAAAGGTTAAAGGTTTATCATTCAATAACTTACTTCTAAGCTTATTTTTCAAGCCAAATATGGCACTCAGACAGTTAATTTACAATTAATCAAGTTCAAATCATTAACATTGTCAAATACCCACTTCCAATCTCTCATTTCCCACTTCTAAAATATTCAATACCCTTATTTATCACATTGAGACCTACCCATTGGATTTATTAACTCTCTTTAGCTCTCAATAGCTTCATTAAACACTTAAACCATTATTAAGGGTTCCCAACAAACTCCACCTCTCTCATTTATTCCACATTTTTTAGCATTAATGCCCTCACAACTACTAACATTTGTAAACTCATAAATCTTAGGTTTAGATACCTCTAACAAATCTCATTAACTCTATTTTAGTCAATGAATTCAGACCCATAACTTATATGGATCAAAAATAATCTCCCATTATCAAACTCTAATTTAAATCCTCATGAAAATAGAAGAGAAAGGGAGGAAAGAAGTTTAGGAATCTTACCTTAAGTGATTTGGAGCTTCAAACCCTTTCAAATCCATCCCAAAGTCGTGCCTTAGCAGATGCCTCTTCATCCTCTTTATCCCTCTCTTAATCCCTCTTTTCTTTCCTTAGTATTTCCCATTAGAATTGTGATTAAATTCTACAGAAATCACATTGTGCATCGCAACGCATGTCCTCACACGCCGCGGCATATGATATAGAGAAGGCATATGATATCTCGTGTCTCTTAGCCCTGTGCACTGCAGTACACCACACATGCACCATGGCATATGGCACAGAGGCTTTTCTACTTATTTTTTTTTCACTTTTTAATCCTCAAGTGATCCAATTTTCACTTTGAACCTAATTTATACTTGAAATCTCACTGAAAACATTCATTAGTCCTCTCTAACTACAAAACACATAAATTTTACTTAATTACCCTTAATTAGATCTATTATTAAAAGGGTAAATTTTTAGGATGTTACACCTATTACTTAGAAAAAATGAGCCACTGGTTTAGGTACAAGATACTATCATTACCACGTAGACAATTAGACATACAACCTATAATCGCAACGATCCAATTACAATAGTAGAGCTTTACCAACTAAGTTATACTCCCCCAAGCCAAGTGGAGCATGCATGAAGGAGTCAGATGCTTCTTCTATTCTTTTCCTTAACGCAGCTAGGCCATCCTGGACTTAAACCAGAGACCTCACCTATGAAGTAAATCATCACACTTACAGTCCAACCAATTAGGAGAGAATCAATAGATTCCTTTTCGAGAGTGATTCATCCTTCCCAAATACAGCATACAACTCTCTATTGTACTGTGCTCTTCAAGTGTGCTTGTTCCCCCCTTCTTCCTTACCATAGCAAATCTTTGTGAAATAACTTCGATGAGAAGAAAAAGGAAGGCAATAAGAGACCCTCCTGGCCCAATCCTAGACACTCTAAGATCTTTTTTCAAACTTGCTCCCATTTCAAGTCAAGAGATAGATAAATAGACACATCTCATTGTACTAAACGAGGGCATTCATAGTGATTGAGGGGTCAAAGACTGAGGAGTTATTTATTAGCCAAGCATTATCTTCTTCTTATGGCTAGATCCAATCTCGCTGCCTCTGTGGAAAGGAAAAAGAATTTCACGTTAATTCTTTCTTTTGGGAAGGGAGGATTAGGAAAATCCTATTGATTGCACCGGGGAAGACTATGCTCCATTTAAAATAAGAATTAAAATTACAATAAAAACAAAACAAGATATAGATCAAGTACGTTGATGAATAGCCCAGATCAAACGCAGCGACACACACCAACCTAATGCTACATTGATGACATTAAATAAAAAAAAAAAGCAGTTAAATACAGTATTTATTGTTGGAAAATAAACGAAATCCGGGAGCTTTTGTGTTACAGCTGGGCTGCTTGATGTCGCATGTGACTTGTAAACAGGCAAGAAGGGTCATCAAGCATGTGTTATTAAAAGAGTGCAGACACATTTGAGAACAAAGATCTTGAAGCTTTTGATGGGAAGGCGAGAATGTGGGAAAAGAAGGGGGGGAAAAGTGAGCGCATTATTAACTCATGATTCAAACAACAACGAATTAAAGGAAAAGCACATGCAAATCTTTAAAGTTATGAATGCTGTTATAGTGGAGATAGCACTGGCAGAGAAACCCAAACATGTCGGATCCTGAGACTTGAGTCTATGATATGATCTTTGTTTTTATTCTGAACTTTGCTCTCGCTGTGTGTGTGGGTGTGTGGACAACATAATTCTCTTCTCCATTGACAACATTAATTTGACGTGGCTTTCCTTCACTAGGAACTAAAGCGTACTTAAAAAAAAAAATTGAAAATTGAAATGCATTTATAACCAGCAATACAAAGAGACTAACAACAGACTACAAAAGAGAGCCAAAATTATTTATCCTCCACCCCCTTCAGGAACCAAAGCGTACTTCACAAGGAAACCCCTATTCTTGCATAACATTTATGAAAGTGGTCATCCTTCCATGAAAAGCTCTAGCTTCTTCTGCAAAATTTATGGAGGCGTGTCGTGGCTAAAAATACTCATTTGAAACTTTTGTTTCATTGCACTCTAATATTTATGAAAGTGATCATCGGTCCATGAAATACTCTTCTTCTTTTTCCTTCTTAAATAACATATATCATGGTGAAGCTTTGATTCCTCCATTTTATCACTTCAAAGAGATTTTAACTTCAGATAAATCCACAAACATTCAATTCTTCGAGGAAAGTACATGGATTTTCTTAAACCGAAAGCACATAAGAATGAACCATGAGCACGAGTCCCTTAAAACCACTTTATCCTACCATTGCCATTGCCAACAGGAGAAAATTTATGAATTCTAAAGTATCTTGGTTCAAATGATCTCAATATTTTATTCTTAGAGAATTTGATAATGCACTTATTTCAAGTAATCTATTGAAAGGTTGATTCAATGTTTTTTTTTTTTTTAAGGGTGGAGAATTTGGTATCTTAGCTTACATTGCATCAAGGTAAGAAGATTTAATGGAAGTTTAAACTAATCTAAATAGAACTAAAACATGACCTTTTTGGATGCCTACTATTTTTCCAGAACTTAAACTTGATATCCCTTTCCGATTAAACCAAGCATCTGGTTCTCTTTTTCAAGTCTACTGGGTTGATTATCTATCAATAATCATTTTCAAATATGAAGGTATAAAATTTTCTCTTCAAAATCATCTTTTATTTATTTGTTTTTAATTCTTGATTTTCAACACACGCGTATTGTCTCTTTCATTTATGGTGGATCGCAATCACAAATTTAAAAAAACTCTAGGGGGTATAAGCAAAGCCGCGTCAGATCACAAGACAGGCATTCTGCTCCAGCTCATGGTCATGTGGGAATAAATTCCACTGCCAAACTTTTGAAGCAAAACATTTTTATAGGCGTCTCTATTTGTACACGAAAACGAACCAAATTATCAAAAGGGGCAGGACCACCTAAAAATCCTTACCCTCCAGGTTCCACACTTTCAATCCAACAAAAACGGAACAAGGATAAAATTTCACAGTTAACTGCGGGCAATACTGGTATTACACTAAATGGGTTAAGTAAGTAAACGTGTCATATTCATTCCAAACAGATAGAGCTACATCACAAGCCGTATTATACCAGGAAAATTCTAAGAATTAAAGGACAAATATTGTATATGATAGTTTTGGAAAGAGTGGAAAGGTGGTTTGTTTGCGGCTTGTTTTTTGTTGGTTGAGAGTGAGGGGGTGTCATGGGCTGAATAGTGCGTTCAAGTTCCAACTTCTGCAATGCTCTGTAAGGCTGGCCTCCATTGCCCCCCACCACCACCAAATTGTCTTCCCACAGCTTTGTGACTGTCGCTGCTGCTGCGGTTACTGCCATTGCTTCCCATTCGGTGAATCTCCTGTTCCACCTGACACACATAAAATGAAGGCCACTCATGGCTATGCAATTGGATAGATAGAGAGCATAGAGAGGCTGAATGCAAACAAGAAAACGACATCTCATTTTGATACACCATCCATATGAATATGAATAGCTTGCAGAGCAGTGGCACAACTTTAAGTGACATGGTTATGCTCTATCTTGTCTTCTTTTATTTACTTTCAAGGTTTTATCTTTCATGTGATTGGCATGTTCATCTGTTTTTCTTTGGTGGTAAAAAGATTAATGAAATAATGTGATTTACACCATTCATATCAATAGATTAATGCGTTATGTAGCGAGTAATGACATAATCAGATGACAGAAAATTTGAAACTAACTGTAAATGAAACATAACTTCCAAGAGAATTCCAACTTGAATTGATATCTTTGACAAGAAGCAGCCTCGCTATCATATGTGATTAGCTCGAAGGTGGTCCTGATGTCCCTTTACAAATTAGGTAGTGCTCATGAAGTGGAAAGTGTGAAGAAACTTAGAAAGTGATAAAGTAACCAAATAAAAACGATTATAGCATTATCCTTTGGATATTGGAGCATGCACCGTCTGTTTGGCGTACGATTCTAGCTTACTCCCTCCCCTGCCTTCCTATTGTAATATTTTCTAATGGTTGAACATTTTTATTCCTAGTCCTATTAATGAATCTTCTAGAAAATAGTAAAAATAAGTGAATGTAACTGCTGTTAAGAGAAAATTGAGATCTTTGAATGGTTTTTTTTTTTTTTTGCTTTTAAAAATGGAACGATATTTTCTTAATATATGTAAAAATGTTAAAAACACCTTGTACTTAGGACATGAAAGAGTATTATCCTAGAAGTCAAAACGTTGTCATGACAGTGAGGTAATTAGAGCGCAAATCATGTACCTAGGAAAGCTTGCAACGAAAATCTACTATTTTTCTTTTATTATCACGACAGCAAAGTTTTAATATCACACAATAAAAAAATAAAATTCATGGTCTAGTTTAATAGCTTGTCGTCATGAAATCTGAAGGATAACATTAAATCCATTTTAGATAGCCATGCTAGATATCAAACAGCTCTGCACAAATCAAAACAATCATTGCATGCACTCGCAATGATTCTTGTCCTTAAAAGTAAAAGAATATGTATAAGCATGATCCTGATGTATCCGAATCAATGTGAATAGGAAGGACGCAACAAAAATCTCTTCCACATTCGTGATGTGATTACTTATTCTTTCAAATTTGACTAAACACAAGGTTGAAGGAAATAAAAAGATCAGCCAATATTCATCCAAAAAAAAAAAATGATCAGCCAATAGATTCGTATTTAAACAAAAATATCAGGTTCTCCGTTCTTTGCACAGAAGATAATATTTTCTATAAATTTACGCTCTGAAAAAAGACCCAAGGTGAAAGTCCAAGTAAAGATGCTTTTCATTGTGCAACGTGATTCCTTCCCCCTACCACACTCTGTCAGTACTCAAATCACTAACTAAACAATTCTTAGGCCCAAAAAAAGAATCGATCAGTTCTAGGCAAAATGCTTAACCTCAATTATTAATACTACATCATTGGAATGAAATATATGTTCGAGTATTTATGTGATTTAGGTTAGCATTATTCAATTTGAAAATTCAAACAGAGCACCAAGTAAAATTTACCTTCATGGGAGCGAAATCAGTTCTCGAACTCGGACTTGGATTTGGAGCTCTGGAGTCTCTGTGCTTGATGTGTGCGCCAAGACCGCCTCTGTCCTTCAGCAATTTCCCGAGTTTAACGCATTTCTTTGCAGACAAGTCCTTCAATACATCTGCGGATCCAGAAACTTTTGAGTTAAAGGGGGAACACAGAGACAAAGAAAAGCTACACCAGAACAATACAGTAGTAGCAACATTAGGCACCTTCAAAACTGATCAAGCGATAAACCTGGCCCATAAGCAAAGTATCGTCGGGTCGGAGAAGTTTGAGCTGCTTCAATGGCGCGCCATTCTCGGACTTAAGAGTGGGCGAGGTAACAACGAGAGCAACGTAGTGACCAGGATTGGAGTCCATCACGTGGTGAGCGCTCACCGACCAATAAATCCTCTCGATCTTATTTCCCGGATGCTGAATCACAACCGTCGCCGCTTCCGCTGCCTGACAATTCCCCATTATCGGAACTCAAGTGGATCGCAGCACACCTATGCTGATCAGTAGAATATCTATAGCGATGAATACGCTTCAGTTCAAGCGTTCCGTTACGTTCTAGCAGGGAAGACGCTTGAGAGGCATGCACTATTCTAAGCAGTTAAGTGGAAACTGTCCCTTATGGAAGAACAGCGACGCCTGAAAAAATAGAGAGAGTGAGACAGAGAGAGATCAGCTTACGAGGGGGAGAGAGAGAGCGTGAGCTTTAAATGAATCTGACGCTCTTCCACGTTCACTGACGCACGCCAAGAATCAAGGGAGGCCTGCTGGATGTGACCAAGGGTGTTGCCGCTAACCGAGAAATTATTGATATGAACCTTCTAACAAGTAATGGTCGGTTCCGTTGAGTTTGAAAATCGGAGCTAAGCTTGAGAAGATTGTGGACGTGAAGGGATTGAAGTCTGAGGGAATGATATTATATGATGGAGGAGGGAAGTGAGGGTCGTGTTGAAGAGGATGGGTACAAAAGGGACAGTCGTTTTGAAGAGTTGTGACTTCTTGTGAGGGCTCTTGGATTTGGATCTGCATATCGCTGTGTTTGCACTCTATATAGAAAAAGAAACGTCGACGTGGCCTGTGGGGCCTCTTCTCTCTCTTAGTTGGTAAAATGTTTAAACCAATTTAGCCTTCTCTTGTCTCAATTCTTTTGGTGTCATGCTTCTGTAAGAAACGTAATAAACGTAATGGAAGTCTAATACTCTGCGGCTTCCCAGTCTGGCACTTATCCACCAGAGCTACGACCACCACCTCATGGCTAGTGCGGGAAATCATCACATCGATACCTGGTTTTGGAATATTTAGAGATCAGTGTCGTCTCATCTTAAAATCCTTCGACGTTCTTTTTTACCAACGCTTTCCAATCTACATATCTTTTATTTGGCAGTAAACCAGGGTGTCCAAAGCCGAATCTCCCACTAATTCAAATCAAGTCATCAGATTAAAATTCTTTTCAATGAAAGCTCTATCACCAAAACATTTCTAAAACTTGAAATCAAGATCTCTAATTAAACACTTAAGCTAATACAACTTTCTTTACCGGTTAAATCAAACATTTGTTGGTTAAATTTATATATACACATAACATAAAAGATCATCAACATTCTTGAATGTAAATATAAAAGATGCCCAGAACTATTTGGTTAGGTTCAGTGACATGAACCTTACCATTGATACAAAGTATTTTGGATTCAATCCTCGTGTAGCCCAAAAAAGGAGGGGATTAAAAACAATTAGGTGTGGTTGGTGGGTGTGTGAGTTTAGATAGGCTTTTTGTTGTATGATAGGAGATTTAAATTTAATCATTGTACTTAATACAAGTACTAAGTGTATGTAATATTTAAACAGCTAAAATTTTAATTAATGATTTTAAATTTATATTTCACTTAAAATTAATTAATGAATGAATTTATATTCCACTTAAAATTAATAATTTTAATAATTTAGATGTCACATATACTTTACTAAATACAGTGATCAAATTTAACTATACTTATAGGTGAGTGAGTGATACATATGTTTCTTGTGAGAGGGGTTAGGTAGGGACGGAGAAAGAAATGTAATATACAAGATGTATCCATTATTATTCATGATTCTGAAAGGTTTATTTTTTAAATTAGTGTGCCATTCATGGCCAATCTTATGTTTCTTGATTTTATATCATTGTCGTGACTTTATTATATTGCTGTCCTTCGGGGAAAACCATTCTCAAGGTAATAAGACAAAATGAGGCATCAACTTAACGTGTTCTGCATGCTGATAAGTATCTAATGTGTTTCATATTATGTTATTTACTTATTTAGTTTCTTCCTTTGCTTTAATTTCTTCCCTTTTCCTTTATCCTTTTTTTTTTTTAAGTTGTGACTCGCCGGAGGGCGCAACTGAGCGTTGTGGAGACGTCGTTTTATTATTAGAATTTTGCTTAGGCCTTTTCGTCAGATGCTGTTTTTGTATTGCCTTCGAAAAATAATAATAATACCAAATCAATTACTAAATTATTAATTAAAAAATGAAAAGGCAGGGCCAGCAGGCAGCCCACGATAACGTGGTATTAGACTACTAGCTTGCTGGTCAAACATGGTATAAATTGTGTTAGTTAAAATTCACTTCCCTTAACTATCCGTTTTTTGTTTAGCACAATAACTCCACTAGCAAATTTGTGGTCGATGCCTAATTAGTAGTTATAGATTTATAGTCCCTGTCATTGTGCTAATTCTACTGAAATTTCACAAATCTACGGGCATTTTTCAAAATATACTCAAATTTTTGTAAGAAAAATATCATTTGCTTTGAAAATAAAGGAGATATCGTTAAAATTTTAATCAAATAATTTTTATTTTTTTAAAATATGCTATTTTTGAAAATAAAAATTCTATAATTTTTGCAAAATTTTAAAAATTTGAATAATTCACTTTAGTTTATATTAATATTAAAAAAAGTGATCTTACAACATGTGCTGTTGACAATGGTTAAAGTCTTAAACATGTATCTATTACTTTAAATTTTATTAATTATTTTTGGTGAAAAACAAGATAAAGACCGAAGATATTAATTTTTTCAAGTTTTTAAAGGCAAAATAACCTTTTTCCGCACTCATTTAACCTTTAACTTTTATTCTTTTCATTTGATCAAAACTTCTTTTTTTGGTACAATGATCAAAACTTTTTTTTTTATAGACTGATCAGTGATCAAAACTAATTAATGCTATATGCACCCGAATTTGACAGGAGAAACAAAAAGGATTTTAATAAAATTGGAAAACTGGAGCTCAACTTTGTAGGCCCCAGCACTACTTAGTTCCGAGGCCATCAAATGTGTGTTGTCATCCAATACCATCATTGGGCTTTGCCATTTTTTTAATTGTAAGACTAAGGACCAAATGACCTTTTTTTCCATGTATAGGCCCAAAGGAATGTGATCTATGCTAGGGCTCTCATATGGATGAATGGGACTAGAGCTGGTAATGGGATACTATATATAGGCTTTGGATAATTGGATACAACATAAGCCCAATAGGAATGAGGGGGCGAAAAACCAATTTTAACCTCGAACCTTTACCCGTCTTTATTCCCTTTATAGACAAGTATTTAAGTTCATCTTATGAAAAAATTGAAGGGATAAAAAAGAGGAGATACGAGCCATTTCTACCTTGTAAGTTTGGTATGAATATATCACATTTGTTGTCATTCATCTCTTTAAATCAATATAATGAACGTATATAATATCAAAATTTATAATGCCAAGCAACATGCAAGAGCAACTAGTTTTTTTGTTTGAAAATAAGAGTATACCTAGTTGAACCAAGTCAATGGAGGTGATATGCTTGTTATTGCTTATGGAAGTCAATATATATGGAGGAAAATATACTAGAAATTAAAAAATCAATCTAGAAGGTGATATTATTTTCATCAACGCCTAACTAGTCATTGAAAACCTCAAATTGAAAGCAAATGGAAACACCATCAGGAGTTCTGCAAACAAAGACATCCACAGTTTAGGTAGATAGATCCTTCTTCAAGTAAGATGGGTTCAACTAGATGTGAATGGATCAATGAATCAAAGTGGTAAAATTACATCATGTCACTTAATACCTTACCCAGAAAAAAAAATTAAAAAAGCTAGTCAATTATATCATTGAAATAGAAACTCATATAATCTCTAAGCACTTTGCTCAAGTGGATGAAAATTCTTGAAGGTCTTAAACTTAGTTAACATATAAGATTAAGAAAACTTCAAATGTATCGCAACTCTATAAAAGTTTTAATTGAGAAAAAATTTGAATAACCACCAATTGATAAATGCTTGTGATGAAATGAAGAAACTTTTGACGCAAGACTAGATGATTACAAGTCATCATATTCTCAGAAAAGTTAATACTTACACCAATTGATTGTTGGGGGCATTTTCAAGATGATGGACTTTACTCCCATAGATTATAGGAACGTATGGTCTGATGTTTATGACAAGGTCATTGCTACTTGTAACTAAATTTTCTTAATATTGTACAGCTTAGCATAATAACATTTTACTTTCTTTTTTTTTTTCTTTTGGGAAAAAAAAAAGTAGAGCGTTCAACTGTATAAGTGTGTTTGATCTATATACTCAAGGGCGGAACTAGGTGTATATCAACCTTTCCATCCTTGTACAAACTGTTAGGGGTTCAGTTGTTTGAGGGTAGTAAAAAATAATTTTTCTAACATAATTCTAATTAACAAAAAAAATCTCTTCACAACCACTCCACAAGCTAACCAATACTACCACACATAGCTTATGTGATTTCGTGGGTATTGTTAGATTGTCATGCAAAATTAAATAGAAATGAAATTTATATATATACATTACTATTGGATCATGATTATTTATGGTTAATATTAATTATTCTTTTTGATAGAAAAAGGAGCCAAGCTTAATATTTGAGTTCTTGCTTTTTTTTTTAAATATTTGTATTCAATGGGTTATATATATTTACTTCTTTAATTTTATACTCCTTCTATTCAAAAATGTAAGGAATTTTTTGAGGAGTTAGATGTTAAAAAATATAAGATATTTTTAATCTTTCGATGTGTAATTATTATCTTTTTTTAAAAGCATCTCTATTGATAATGACTTTATATTTATTGTAGGGTGTTTAATATGAGTAAATATGAAAAAATAGGGTTAGTTAAAAAATATGTAACTATTTTATTAGAGGTGAGATTCGGTTAAAAATGTCTTACATTTTTGAATGGAGGGAGTATAAAGTTTCATTTTAATCTTTTAATTTTATAAAAAAAAATTTTAGTCCCCTAATCTTAACACTACTGTTAATTTTATTAACAAAAAATTCCTATGTTAAACTTTTAAATGTTGACAAAATATTTTTAAATAGTTAACATATTAAGTTTAATTTTTAAAATAATAATGATTGACACAAAATATTATCATTTCAAACTAACAATGTTCTGAATAGAGAACTAAAATTTTTCTCATAAAATTAAGAAATCAAAATAAAATCTTATATTAAATTAGAGGATAGTTACATTTTAGCTTGTTCATTGTGTTAGCTTATTGATAATAACTTTATATTTACTGTATGGTATTTAATAGGAGTAAATATAAAAAGATAGAGTTAGTTAAAAAGTAGGTAATTATCTTATTGGAGGTGAGATTCGGTTAAAAATGCCTTACATTTTTAAATGGAGGGAATATAAAGTTTCATTTTAATCATTTAATCTTTTTTAAAAAATTAGTCCCCTAATCTTAACACTACTGTTAATTTTATTAACAACAAATTCCTACGTTAAACTTTTAAATGTTGGCAAAATATTTTTAAATAGTTAACATATTAAATTTAACTTTTAAAATAATAATAATTGACACAAAAAATATTATTTCAAACTAACAATGTTATGAACAGAGAACTAAATTTTTTTTATAAAATTAAGAAATCAAAATAAAATCTTATATTTAATTAGAGGATAGTTACATTTTAGCCTGTTCATTGTGTTATTTTTTTTTTAACAAAATTTGGGAATCGCATATCAACTATGGTTTTTTAATATACCAAAGTATATTAAAAATTAATATTTTTATTTATTCTTCATATTTATTTTTAAAACTAATATAATTATGTATTTAAAATATTATGTATTTTTAAAGTATTTTTAGCTTATAATATTCAGATTATAAAATTTTTTTAATGAAATCACTTATTTTATTTTTTTTAAAAAAAATAAAAAGCTAACAACACAATGCATGTTGATGTTTTTCGATAAATTCCCCCCCCCCAAAATTTTGCATATAATATTCAGATTATAAATTTTTTTTAATGAAATCACTTATTTTAATTTTTTTTAAAAAATAAAAAGCTAACAACACAATGCATGTTGATGTTTTTCGATAAATCCCCCCCCCCCCCCAAAAAGTTTGCATCCTAGTTCCGCCCCTGTATGTACTAGTGGCACCCAGTGATTTCTCCAATGTATAAATTAATGTCTCTTGCATGGATAATGTGAGAAGCGCAATCCTTAGAGCCAGAGATAGTCAACATGAAAGGGACGGCTCTCGTGTAGATACAAACACAATCGTCTAATGAAGCATCCGTTCTCTTCGGCCAGGTCCTACCAAATTTGTCTTCTCTTTCAAGGAAGTTTCATGTGAAACTCTACAGGGCCCCCTTAGTACTTTGCTTTTCGGGAGCTTGTAAATTAACTTTATGACGTAATCTTGATCAGTGCAAGACGTTCACATTATACATATAAATGTATTCTCCAAGTTTTGTTCTCCAATTGATACATCCTCAATCGCCATGTCTGTGTCCCCGAACCACCTAGTCACTCTTGACCTGTTCTGCAATGAAGCAGCTAGCGAGGTGGTTGCATCGGATTCCAAAATTGCCAGCTGTGAATCATTGGCGGATTCGAGTGTCTTGTGGGATTCCGATGATGGAAGCTGTGCCTTGACCTTACTGGACTCCGAACTTGATCTAATACAGGAAAGACACCAGTCACTGGCACTGCTTCACGGAAAAGCATGGCTCAGAACTGCTCGAGAAGAAGCCATAAAGTGGATGCTAAAGGTGAGTTCATGCTATAACTTCCCATTATGCATAACCAGTCTGCTATACATGTATATTGTTCTGAACTCTGATCATGTAGGTGCAAGGTTACTACAGTTTTACACCAGAGACGGCATGTCTATCCGTGAACTATCTTGATCGTTTTCTTTTGTCACACTCATTGCCGGTACAGTATTGAGATTGAAAATGATTTAGCTGGAGAATTCAGAATGAAAATTTATATGATCGTGGCGGTTTAAAAATTTGCAGCAAGATGAAGCGTGGCCATTGCAGCTAGCAGCAGTTGCTTGTCTGTCCATCGCAGCAAAAATGGAAGAAACAAGGGTCCCACTTTTACTAGACTTACAGATGATAGAGTCTAGGTTCGTGTTTGAGCCTAAAACAGTTCAAAGAATGGAGCTATTGGTCATGGCCGCCCTCAGGTGGCGATTGCGCATTGTTACTCCTTTTGATTTTGCTCATCTTTTCATTGCTAAGGCTAAGCTATCATGCTCTGCCTCCTGTCACATTAATATTTCTCTCGTCTCAGATGTTATTATCAGAACATGCTTAGGTATAATTTACAAGTGTCTCATCATCGTTTTTAACTCAGATTAATGTTTCAAACGATTATTTGATAACATGATCAAAGTTCTTCTGAGCAGTAATCGATTTCTTAGAGTATCCTCCATCTGTAATAGCAGCAGCTGCTCTGCTTTGGACAACCAATGACCAGAATATAAGATTCTTCCATGAAAGCATAAATAAAGTAGGTGTCAACAACATTGCTACAGAACATGAAGGCTTTAACTTTTCACAGGATAATGAAAATGTTGTTGCTTGTGATGTTGAACACAGGATATGGTGCAGCAATGTTTGAACCTCATGAAGCAGAGGATTTTCCGGTCGGAACATTTTGCAGCGACGAATTTAGATTCATTGCCTCTAAGTCCTACTTGTGTGCTTGATCTCGCGGCAATGCAAGAGAGCAGCATGTATCACAGGCCCTGACTTGAAGTGTTTCTTCAGGAGACGATAATGGCCAATAAGTGCCATGAAATTGCTTTCAATTTGTCCATTCCTGATTCATTTTATTTTATTTTATTTTTTTTGGGTGAAATATTTTATTTGTTTTCTATTGGTGAGTTGATGTGATTGTGTGTGCAGTGTGGAAAGTTTTCATTGGACTGGTTGATTTTCTTCATGAAATAATAAGAATTTCCCCCATTTTTTGAGTAAACCAGTAAGGTCTCGTTTGGTATGATGGAAGAGTTTTTAATGAAATCGGAATCGGAATCGGAATTGGAATCGGAATCGGAATCGGAATAGAATTGAGTTTTAAAAATGTGTTTGGTATGAAGATGGAATTATAATATAATATTAATTTATATAGGTACTTAAAATAGGAAAAGACTAAATTGCCCTTTTTTTAAATTAAAAAGACATATCTTATTATAAATGGACAAAAAAGATGAGGATAGTGGGGTCCACAAATTGAATTCAAGGGAATTGAAGCAATTCCATGGTCAATATGATGGAATTGAATTCTAACATTTTTGATGGAATTGGAATTCTTAAGAATTGCAATTCTTGCATACCAATCATGCTTAAATTAGGATTTCATCTTTGATTCCATTTCCACCTTACCAATTCAATGCTATCAAACATGGCCTAAAAGAATGAGACCCAATTCTGTCCTCTCAAAACAAGTGGCGCAAAATAATCCAAGCTAAGTTGCTGTTGTTTCTGTTTAAGATGATATTTGCACAAAATCTTCATATTAGTATGGATTCTGAATGAAGATAAAAAATGGTTCAGATATATAAAAGCGACTTTTGCGAGCTAAAATACTACCCTACGTGTGACTCCTTACTCTGACAGACTCTCAGATTCATATGGTAAAAGCTACAGATTTAGACCTTTTTCTAGTGTCATTGTGTAACACTGTAAGGGACTCGTTTGTCTTCTCCACGATACTAGGCACAGTGATTTGAATATAAATTGGGTGGATAGTTAAAATCAGTTATAATTACAAGATTTTATCAACTATTTAAAATTATCAAAATGTATTCTCCTTCAAAATTTCAAAATAATTTTTACAATCAAAGCACTCATTAGGCGCTTTATTCTCTCCAAAAATTTGAGATTTGTTATTTTTTTAATATTATATGATAAAATATCTAATATAAGTTCAATTAAATCAAATTATTATTATCATATTACATAAGATACTCATTAAACATGTGGATTTGTGTTCCTCATTTAACATCACTTAATTTTCAATTTATTTAAGATCCCCAGTCAATTTTCCAAAATCCTCCATTTAGTTTTTTTCCCCCACCAAAAAACCCTCCATTAATTGGAGCACTAAGTACCCTTACTTTTTAGTTGGAGTAATTTTATCTTAAAACTTTAAAAAAGGGAACAATTCTGTCCCATTATTAATCTATACTAACTTTTGACAGTTAAATATTACTTTTTGATCAAATAAAAAAACTAATGAGTAAACTTCACATTTTTGCATATCTCCTCCATGTGGTCTAACCACCCTCCAATTCCATTTTAGCCAAACCCGACTTACCGGAACAGTGACATGGCAAGGGAAAAGGGTGGTCAAGCTCGTGAGAACAAGAGGAAGAAAAAGCAAACAAGTATTTTTGTATTAGTCTTTTTGGTCAAAGGTTAGTAGAGATTAACGGTGGGACGAAATTGCTTCTTTTTTTTATAGTTTTGAGGTAAAATTATTCTAACTAAAAGGTAACCATACTTGATGTTTATTTCAAAAAACTTTCACGAATTTTTGCCTTTTAACCCTCTTCTTTTTAAGGGGGTTTTCAACTAAGTCTTGGTACCGCTAGATTTAGTATGTGTTTGTTTGTAATTTGCTAAAAGTTTATTTTTTGAAATTTTATTTGACAAAAATCAATTTAGTAAAAGTTAATTGTTATAATAAAATTTGTATTTGAATATATTTTTTAAAATTTAATTTAATAAATTAAAAGTTGTTTGGATTATATATACTTTTGAATGTACAATTTCAAAAAAATATTAATTTATGATGATTTATAATTTTTGTTATACAAATATAATGTATTAGAAATGTTTGAAAATTGTAATAAAAATTTTGAATAACATAAAATTTGATATGTTAAATAATAATAATAAAAAAATATAAAGTTTGATATATGAAAAAAATATAATAAATAGTTCAACATACATCAATATTGAAAATTAACATGATTAATTATTCAATTATTAATGTATAATATATTTCTAATTGAATCGCGAACTTTATTTATCTTTCTATCAACAATCACACTAAAAATATTAATAGTAAAATGAAAATAATTATATATAAATAGTCCCAGGAGTAATAAATTTAAAGAATTTTTTTGTGGCAAAAATATAAAGAAAGATTAAAAATAGAAGAGTCATGAAAATTTTGAGATAACAAAGTCATATATCAAAAATTAAATAGATCATATTTCAAAAATACATTGCAAAAATTTCTCTCTCATAACTTTTACCAAATTCATATTTAACAACATTTAAAAAATACTTTTAAAAAGTTAATTTAAAATGAAACGTGATATCCTACTTTGTAAAAGTGAGAGAACATTTTATAAGAGTGAGTCGTGGGTTGCCCGGAGCCTAGTCTTAGAGGGCAGTAATGTTCATTAAGTTTTGTCTTTGAATTCTTACATTTGGCTTATCTTCTATAACAAGTTAAAGAAATAGATTTACATTTTAATTAATACTTGAAGCATTAAATTCAATTTATACGCAACCGAAATAAAATAATAGTATATTTAGAGTTGAGTCCGAATACTCTCTGATCCATCTAAAAACAATATTTATTTTAAATAAATTATCATCGTCAAGTCTATTTAACCCGTTTGACTTATTATTAATATTAATAATATAAATAATTCGACCAAACAGATTAAGTGAACAGTTTAGATTTATACGAAGTTGTCATCATTCTTCAAATCCATTAATTTTCATTAAAAAAAGTAATATACATTATATATTAGGAAGAAGGAGAATGACAAATAAATTTTTTTGAAATAGAAAAATGATGATTTAATATTATGAAATGTGATAATGCCTTCCAAGCGTTAAGGGACTTAAATATCATTAAAGTTTTTTATAAAATAAAAAAATACCTTTTAATTTAAAAAGTAATAATCACATTCAAAAAATATTCGAGAAACGTATTTACAAATAAGAATTAATAACAAGTCCTGTTCAAGAAAAATTAAATTTATGTTTCTATTTTAATAATAATTTATTTTGTATTGATCCTTATTTGTGAATAAGTTTTTTGAGTGATTCTTAAATATAATTTTTCCATTATAAAAAGTGCAATAAAATTTTTTTCATTTACAACTTTATTTTTAAAATTCACAACTCTAATTCAACAAATGATTAAAGTGGTTTAGGTATTCACAACTTTTATTTATCATCTTTTTCAATCAGCAAAATACAATAAAGATTTTTTTCGTTCACAACTTTAGTTTTAGAATTCACAACTTTAATTCAATAAATGATTAAAGTAGTTTAGGTGTTTATAACTTCCTTTCACCATTTTTCTTCTTTTTAAATTAAGGCATATTTTTATCATTTAATCAAAAACTTTAATAATAATTATGTTGTCATTTTTCCTATTATGGAGCAATTCATTTGTCATTCTCCCTATGTATTATTGGATGGAGCGCTTAATGTTAGCTTATAAAGATAGAGGAATCAAAAGAGAAATTCATAATTGAGTGATCCGTTGAAATAAGATTCTAAATCGTCCATTTAATCAAACTTATCCAAACACAAATACCTTACGGCCATTGTTTATAAAGGAAGATGGAGAGACAAGTAACGTGCGTGGGACAGGATGAGAGCAAAGGGATTAGGATTATTACCATATATAGTTTTGAGACTTTGAGGAGTGATATGTTTCCCATCTTGAAAGCTTGCTTGAGATATAAGCTTTGCAGTAAAATTTGGTAACAAAGAGACAAAATTGAGGAGCATAATGCAAGAGAGAACCAAGAAATATCAAATAGTAGGTTATAGGAGAGACACGGGACGCAAGGACAGGGGGAACAATACGAGAATGATTATATTATATGCTGTGTAATCAGAGGTTGTCTGGCTCAATCAGTTCGTGGGTATGAATCATATGATAAACTCAAAGCATAGGAAGGACTTGAAAGAGGAAGCTTCCCTTTTTGGTGGACCTGTCAATGAATTTTTTGCACACAGTGAGATTGCACCTGAGGGTTAAATAGTACTTTAACCTTTCAACTATTTGATAAAATAATCCTAAACTTATATGTAACACGAATTACAGCAAAAGACCTAGGAAATTACATATAAATATTCTATGAAAAAATTAATACCAATTAAATTTTTAAAATTATATGTAAATGTAAGGATACAAATGTTTTATATTACCATGTAAAAGGTTAAAATACAATTCTGACCAACTAATTTAATCATCTAATAAGTAATTAATGGATTACAATTGTTGACAACAATAAGTAAAAAATATCATGTTTGTTTAACAAGTCTTCACACATAATTTATAAGTTAACTTTTGATATTTATACATTTTTTTTAGAAATTTACATTTACAATTTAATTACATTTACAATTTAATTAGTATATATGTTATTTATAAATGAATGAGTTTTTTTTTTTACAATAGCTATAAATTTTTGAAAGAGGACTTATAAATTTAAAGGAAGACATATAAATTGTCATACTATTTAAACACTTAACTGATATTAGTTTTGTCATAGGATATTTATTTATATATTTATAAGCCCTTTTCTACTATTTTTGAAGTCTTTTTTATAATTGTATAAATCAACTAACTATTAAAATTAATTTTTTTAATAGCAAAGTGCCTAGTACCATTTTTAAATGTTGAGGAGAAAAATTACACTACATATAAATTTAGTAAAACAAACATTCTTAAATGAATAATTGTAGGTCAAAGATTATCATTTAACTTTTTTATGTATTACATGAAATTTAAGAAATGAGTTGTACAAGTAGTAAAAAGTAATGTATCTTATTTTTGTTTTTTTGGCCAAAGTAATGTATCTTATTAAAAGTTTTATATTATGTATAGATATATTATTCTTCCTATAAATATAATATTTTAATTATATTTGCATGCCAGAAAAGTTCATCTCTGCCGACTTGGGCGAGGAGTAACTGAGGACCGAGGGTG